CACGCGCGCACACGCATGCACGCACACACACACACACGCATGCTTACCGTCTTCCAGCCGACCTGGGGACCGAGATCCTTAAAGTACAGCTTGCCACCAGGGGGCAGGTTCAGCGCCTTCAAGGTTTCCTCATCCTTCAGCATCTTTCCTTCTGCGATCGCCGTGGCAACAACGCAATGAACGTTAGCGACAACACTCACATACAGACAAAAGAACAGTGCTTAGACATCGAAACGTGATCATCTGACTTTCGCGGCAACGTACGAACGAATTCGTTTCACGACGAAATAAAAAGCTTAATCCCGATAAATATCCAGCTACGTAGATTTATCATAAAATGAAATGACCGTTACAGCATGTAGAAAACATAAATATGCAATAATAATGGTAACAGTAATAAATTGCGATTCATTTTAGGGATCACGCAACACCTACTTGCTTCGAGCTTGAAAGACTGCCTCGATGGAGCCGTCTTCTTGCCATGCTTGTGAAAGGCTTTCTTCACATCGAGTATGGTCGCACTGGGCGACAACTGAAACGTGCGACGGGAGAAGATTTAAAATAAAAGCCAATCACTGGCATGAGCCCCGAAAATTAACTCAGGTGGCCATCGAAGAAGAAAATAAGATGTACAGCCTTATGTACCTCTAGGTTTTCAAACAGCAAAGATAATGATATCAGGAGAGTATATAGATATAGGATATGATATAGGATAGGATATATGATAGAGGAGGATATGATATAGGATATATATATATATATATAGTGACAGCTGACACGTACACTTGAGACAGTGGAACACCAGTCAAAATATCTAAGCACACATAATTAAGATTGCAAACAGCAAACACAATATCGGGAGAGCGCATATATAATATCAGACCTGACGCCGTGAACTCTCGACATATTATCGTATTGTTTGCTAAAACTGCAACATGAGTTGGGAAATGAATTGTGTTTCTCTGGCACTGCATGGTGCGCATGTTATTTTATACTCTCTCCCTAGTAATTCTCCACTATCCCTTCCAGTACTAGTAGTAGTATAGATGAGGCAAGCAATTATTGGAAGTTCATCTTGGCAGCTTATGGATCTGGCGGTACACTTACATCTCCCAGACGCGCCAACTCCTGGCCTGACTTTGCGTTCACGACTACAACCTGAAAGAATGAAAAAATAGAGCATATTAACGAGCCCGAAGTTATGCTAGTGCACAGAATAGCATCCTTACGAAAATGCCCATCCGAAAATACCTGTGAGTGTAATAGTCAGTCACTGCACATTGTACTGTGTTGTGTTACGTATAATATAGCCTAGGCTGTAGTGTATTTGCCACCAAACCAAACACGTAGGTCTATGCAAAAATGCAAAATGCAAATCGTGACTGTTCACAGTTGATGACATAATGAAATCAACAAGTTTTGCTGGTTGTATTTTTACTTAAAACTGTTGACCAGGTAAAACTATAGCAATGTAATGCATGCAGTAAATAATACAAAACAATGATGAAGGTTTTTGTGCAATTTTTAAACGTGCTCAACTCAAATCATGTTCACTCACCTCCATTTTACCCGGTACCCACCACTAGATGGCGCGACGACTTGTTTCATGATGACGTTTTCGGCGGATCTTACGTCAATGTGAAGTTGTATCATGTTTCTTGCCAACATTTTGTGAAAATTTCGAAAATTAACCTCTAAAACCAACCACCGAAGAGCCGAAATAACAGATAGAGATAGAGAGATCGAGCACGGTTTGAGTTAAAAGCAAAACAAAGAGCCACTCACTGTAAGTATTCCGTGTTTGAATGTGTTTTAAGCGTACTATGTTAAACTTCGGTTGGCCTTGCAAGTTGTGTGTTTGTGTGTGTGTGTTGGTATTAACTATTACACTCTGTAGTCTAGACTTTAGTAACCGAGTGTTAGATGTTGAGTCAGCATAGACGAAGCCTAGGCAAGCTCTTGGTTGTCGTCGTTGCGCACGATCAACGAAAAATTCACCCTGAACACAACGTTATGGCGTCAAATCATGTAAATCACAACGTTCTCAAGATGTGAGGCTGACAATGCCAACATTGGCAACAATGGGCCCCCATACCAATGTAATGACAATAATAATGACGTGTCATATACTACTACTAGCCAGTAGCCCATCCCTCCCTGCTGGCGCAGTCTTGGCCACGCGTAGCTCTAGTACTATAGCCCGCTTACATTAACTGCCGCTGGAGGCTCGTAAATGGGAGCAACAGCCTATTATACATTAGTAATGGCGGTGCATTGCTTTCTGGGAGGAGTTGCATCTGCCTGCCAAACTCCAAGACGAGCCTCGCCGGCGCCGCCGCGAAGTGACGTCACACGGGCGACTACCGTGATTGGTCAAAGGATCTAATAGCGCGGTTAGGGATTTTTGGATTGTTGCTCCCATTTACGAAACGGCTCTCTGGGAAATTCGCGGCAAATTCGAGCAGGATTTCTCATATAACGTGGATATCCTCGTAGAATGCATCGGAATGTTATTGTTGTTATTTTATTGTTGTTTTTATTCGTTGTTGTTATCTGGTTCATTTCTTCTCATAGGGGCTATACTGTTAGCATATCTTTACTAGATATTATATAGAATTTATATATATATATATATATATATATATGTATATGCATCTATATATCCTCATGTGACTTAGCTCTAGTACTATAGCCCGCGTACAGTTGCTGCAGGGCTATAGAACATGCTATTACGTATGCTCGGGACCAACTTACTCCAGCCAGTCAGCGGGAACTATGTATTACTGCACGTGGAGTTGTGGACGGGTTGTGTTGGTTGTGGACAAAAACATTGTTGTTGTCAAGTAACAAATTAATAATACTTAATAGTAATTTGTTCTTCTTTCATGACAAAACTGATATTACAATCTTTTTCTGATTGCTTAATTTGTTACTTGACAACAACAATGTTTTTTTCCACAACCACCCCAATCCGCCCACCCCGCCACGTTCGGAAATACATATAGTTCCCGCTGACTGGCGCTGCTGCAGCGCCACCAAAAATGGCCGTTTGAAGTTCGTAAATAATTTTCGTTTACAAGAAATACCACAAGTAGACCATATCAACGATAGTTAGAAGATAAATTTTAGTAGCTGATATAACTTAAGACATATTCACTTCGGATAAGAGGCATTAATTGCCTACCACAGACGTTTTATAGCCGCGAGTAACCGTGAATAAGTTGGTCCCTAGCATTCGTAATAGAATGTTCTATAGCCTTGCAGCAACTGTACGCGAGCTATAGTACTAGAGCTACATGCGACTGTAATCACAATATAAACACACACTATATATTCAGGATTGAAGCGCTTACACTGCAATCACTCTGTGAACCTTGTGTGCCGTTTGACAGATATCAGATGACGGATTTAGAACTTAGAGGAAGTCTCTGGCTGTATTGAGTTACCATACAGCGTGTCCGTTTGACGGTCGGTTGCACGATAGATACATTGAGGGCACCGCTTCCTCTGTCACTCCGACTTAGATGGATTAACACAGAAGTACGGAAGCCACGTCGAAGCCATGGCAAGCACTAGTATTGCCTCGATTGCGCTGTATACCATGGGGGGATGGAGGATATGTAGTGCTACAGCTATGTCTCGCATACTATAGCCTCAGTTGCAGTGCAGAGCAGCATATTACCCAGCGAGCCGTGCAGCCGTGATTTGCACGGTCAGTTTTGAAGCTGCGCGGCAAAAATGTGTAGCACGGCCTAAAATCTCATTTCTAAAGCCATGTACGTAACATACATGTGTAAAATTGCACTCCCAAATATTTTTTCTGCACTCCCACAATACTTATTCTTGGCTAATACCCTGGTGCAGAGCGATAAGGTAGCCGTAATGCTAGAATCCCATAGAGTCGTGTCTCACATACTATTGCCTCAATCGTCTCGCGTACTATTGCCTCAATCGTCTCGCGTACTATTGCCTCAATTCTCTCGGGTACTATCGCCTCAGCAGGGTTTCTTCTGACGGAAAATTAGACAAAGGAGGTAATGGCCAGTTTGGGGGAAAAAATGGATGGCACTCCAACCAATCAAATAACGGAAAAGTGTAGACCCCGCGTCACACAACTCAATAAACGCACATGGCAATCTAAATATGCCAGAAGCACGTGGTGATCAGATTTATTTATTTTTGGGTTGACACTATCTTGACAACGGCGGGTAAATACAGGAACATTTTCACAACGGCGATGTTAAATTTGACAACGGCGGTGCGCCACTGTGCCTCTTATGTATAAGAAACCCTGTAGTAGTAGAGCGTGTACATCCTTATGTATAAGAAACCCTGTAGTAGTAGGTACATCCTTATGTATAAGAAACCCTGTAGTAGTAGGTACATCCTTATGTATAAGAAACCCTGTAGTAGTAGGTACATCCTTATGTATAAGAAACCCTGTAGTAGTAGGTACATCCTTATGTATAAGAAACCCTGCTCAGTTGTGCTGCATTCCACGAAACGATTAAGACTGATGCTAGAATTGTGTCTCACGTACAGGGTTCTGCACTCGCGGTTGCCGCCCGGCACTATATATCTCTGCCCGGCACTAATTTTTGATATAAAAAAAAAGATAAAAAAGTCTGATATATGGGCTTTTTATTTCTCAGAATGCAGGAAATTGAGTTTCAGACTATCCAAAATTAAAAATTTCCCAGTGGGGCATGCCCCGGACCGTCCTAGATTGGCTTCGCGCTTACGGCGCTTAATTGCATCTTCCGACTTCGTCGCAACTGGATGCGCCCGGCACTAAAAAATCCTGGGCAGAACCCTGCACGTACTATTGCCTCAATCGTCTCGCATACTATTACCTCAATCGTCTCGCGTACTATTGCCTCTATCGTCTCGCGTACTATTGCCTCAATCGTCTCACGTACTATTGCCTCAATCGTCTCGCGTACTATTGCCTCTATCGTCTCGCGTACTATTGCCTCAATCGTCTCGCGTACTATTGCCTCAATCGTCTCGCGTACTATTGCCTCAATCGTCTCGCGTACTATTGCCTCAATCGTCTCGCGTACTATTGCCTCTATCGTCTCGCGTACTATTGCCTCAATCGTCTCACGTACTATTGCCTCTATCGTCTCGCGTACTATTGCCTCAATCGTCTCACGTACTATTGCCTCAATCGTCTCACATACTATTGCCTCAATCGTCTCGCGTACTATTGCCTCAATCGTCTCACATACTATTGCCTCAATCGTCTCGCGTACTATTGCCTCAATCGTCTCGCGTACTATTGCCTCAATCGTCTCGCGTACTATTGCCTCAATCGTCTCGCGTACTATTGCCTCAATCGTCTCGCATACTATTGCCTCAAACGTCTCGCGTACTATTGCCTCAATCATCTCGCGTACTATTTCCTCAATCGTCTCGCGTACTATTGCCTCAATCGTCACGCGTACTATTGCCTCAATCGTCTCGCATACTATTGCCTCAATCGTCTCACGTACTATTGCCTCAATCGTCTCGCGTACTATCGCCTCAGTTGCGCTGCATTCCACGAAATGATTGCGACTGTAAGTGTAATGCTAGAATCATGTCGCACACACTATTGCCTCAAGCATCTCACCTCTATGATCTATCCCTTCAATTTCTCTACATTTCACGGAGGATCGCTATAGAGTAGTCGTAGAACCCTAGATGGAGCCACATCTCTCGCGCAGATCCGTGACGTAGGCCTGTTTTTCCGCAAATCACGCGGTTTTTCGATCTTACGGGCCGGATTTGCCGGTGCCTCACTCCAACGGGAAGCTCGTATTTCGCCGCGGCACCGGCGATGAGTTTTTCCCGTTTGCCCTTCCATGCTTTCCCAGTGGAACATGAAAATTCGGAAGAGGCCTTGGGGCCATGTTGTCAGAAACAAAATCAGTCTTGTAATTAGTCTCGGTTGTCAAACGCAAAATTAGTCTTAGAATTAGTCTCAACATGGACTTTTTCATGTAGACCGGAACTCTGTACATATACACTGCGTATGGAAAATTCGTAACTTTGCCATGTTTCTGTGAAGGGTCGCCGTGAAAATGTTAATGTTATTGTTGAGACCAATTACGTTAAGACTGATGTTAAGACTAATTTTGTTTCTGAGAACGTGTACCACGGCATTGTAATGACACGGCTACGCCTACTACCTAGCTAGCCTGTGTCCCCCTCTCCCGAATTCAACGCTGTGTGTGTGTGCATCCCTCTTTCTCCATCGTAGAAACAGTTGCTAAGCAGCCATGTTGCTTCATCGTAGTTTTTTTTTCTTCATGGTCACGGTGTCCTAAAATTTCCTATTGGGGCCAACACCTGCCTCGGTCTACGCAAAAAAAAATCGAGCGCCTAATTTCGGACGGTGCGCTGTCGATGACAGGTTGCCGTGGCAACGGAAAAGGGAGAGCGAAGGCACTCGGGGCGTGGCGTGATTTTTCTTCAGCTTCCGTTCTAACTTGGATGTTAGCGGATCATCTGTGATGCTTGTGCGTGTGTGCGATCACCGCATTTCTCGCATCTAGGAACGGAGAGCTAGGAACTAGAAGCTATATATATAA